TTGCCTGACAGTGTGCTGTGGGTAGCGCAGAATTCTTTTCTCCGAGGGAGTTTGGTTGTAAAATTCTTTTCTCGCGATGTCCACCCAGCGCCGCTCGCGCCGCCTCGCCTCCGCCGCCACCGCCGCTCCCTCGCCGAACACGCCGCCGCCCGCCCGCCTTCTCGACCTCCCCAGGGAGCTCCTCGTGCGCGCCCTCACTCGCTGCGAAAGCCCCGTCGACATCGCTCGCGTCGCCGCCGTCTCGCTTCTCTTCCACGCCTCGCTTGCGGAGGAGGCCATCCGCTTGTGGGCGCAAGAGCGCGGCTTGGAGCTGCCGCCGCCGCCAGCGGGTGAGGGCTGCGCCGTGCGGTGGCTGTGCTATTCGGCGTTGCTGCACGAGTCCAACCGGCCGGCGAGGGCGGCGGCAGGCGAACGGCACAGCGTCTTCATCGACGGCGAGGGGCGGCTCTCGTCGTGCGGCTCGGAGGGGGACGAGGAGGGCGAGGAGGGGGAGGAGGAGGGGGAGGAATTTCCAGGCCTTCTCGGCCACGGCGAGGGCGTGACGCGGCTCAACACACCGACCCGCCTCCCGTCAACGCTGGGTGACGAGCGCGCGGTGAGCGTGTCGGCTGGAGGTGGCCACAGCCTCGCCATCACCGCCGACAGCGCCGTTTGGAGCAGTGCGATGGAATGTGTTGCATGCTGGGCCACGGCGATGAGCAGAGCGAGTCGCTGCCCAGGAAGATCGCGAGATCTTCACTGGCGAGCGCGTCGTCGCCGTGTCGGCTGGAAGGGCTCACAGCCTCGCCCTCGCCGCCGACGGCGCCGTTTGGAGCTGGGGCTATGGCGAGGATGGCCCGCTGGGCCACGGCGACCAGCAGCGCCAGCTGCTGCCCAAGAAGATCGAGAACTTTGCTGGCCAGCGCGTCGTTGCTGTCTCGGCTGGACTTCTACACAACCTCACCATCACCGCCGACGGCGCCGTCTGGAGCTGGGGCGATGGAGGCTTTGGCAAGCTGGGCCACGGCGACGAGGAGACGCAGCTGCTGCCGAAGAAGGTCGAGGCCTTGGCGGGGCGGCGCGTCGTCGCTGTGTCGGCTGGAGGCGACCACAGCCTCGGCCTTACCGCCGACGGCAGCGTCTGGAGCTGGGGTTGGGGAGGGAACGGCCGGCTGGGCCACGGCGACGAGGAGAACCAGCTGCTGCCGAAGAAGCTCGAGGCCTTGGCTGGCCAGCGCGTCGTCGCTGTCTCGGCTGGAGTCTGCCACAGCCTCGCCCTCACCGCCGACGGCGCCGTCTGGAGCTGGGGCGTTGGCTACGGTGGCCGGCTGGGCCACGGCGACCAGCAGAACCAGTCGCTGCCGAAGAAGATCGAGGCCTTGGCTGGCCAGCGCGTCGTCGCTGTGTCGAGTGGAGAGTACCACAGCATCGCCATCACCGTCAGCGGCCCCGTGTTTTCCTGGGGCGAGGGTAAACGCGGCTTCCTCGGTCACGGAGAGGACCTGTCGAACCAGCTGCTGCCCAAGAAAATCGAGGCGTGGGGGCGGGCAACGACGCCGTAGTATGCGTGAGGCGCTGCTCGAAATCTGGAGGGGGAGCGATAGCGAGTGTGAGATTCAGATTGTTGAGCTGTGGCGACCGACGCGAGCACGCAACAGGGGGTCTGGGGGCACGCGGGCCACGCCAGGGCCACACAGAGCACACCCGGTCGTCGCGACACGGGGGCGGGGATCGGGAAGACACTCAGCTAACGGGGCTGACACTAGACACAACCTGAGCGAACTTCCCTAAAAGAAAGAAAGAAAGCAGACAACCCAAGGGAGGGATGGGAGGACGGCACGCTGCCACCACACAGGGATTTTAAGGATGTTGGGTGTGAATGCGCTAACCTTCGCCCACCCTTCCCTAGTCACGCCACCCTTCGCTAGCGCGTTTCTTTTTTTCGCTGTCGCACACACATTTCGCGCGAAACTTACGCGGCCAGGGCTGATGCCATCTGGAATGCCCGAGCCGCGCACAGCACGGCCTCTCCTCGTGCTCGGCATCCTTCCCTCAGACGCGACTCTGCGCTCCAAAACAGCGAGCGCAAATCCCGTGCACGCGCGTCGGACGTGGCTCGCGCACGCTGCAGCCCTCCAGGTCACGGCACGGTTCGTCTTTCCGGCGCCGCACGAGGAGCTCTCGGACCCGCACCACCGCACGTCGCGGCGGGGGCAGCGGCGGCTTCGGGTTGAACCGCCACCGCCGACGGGCGACGATGTCCTCCTGCTTCCAACGACTAGCGCATGCGTGTGCGCGGAGCTCACCCACGCCTGGTTTGCCCACTCGCTCGCGGCGTGGCCCGCCGCCAGCTTCATCGGCAAGACGGAGGACGACGTCTTCATTGCCCTCCCGGCGCTACGCTTTGAGCTCGGCCGGCTGGTTGGCTACGCCCGGGACGCTCTGTGGTGGGGTCTGATGGCTTGGACGGGCAATGGAGACATCGGCCACCAGCGAACGGGCTGCTGGGCGGGCGGCTTTGAGGACGACCCCGTGCTCTCGGCCAAGGGCGTGCGACACACGCTCGACAAGGAGCGTGGCTGCGCCCCCGCCGGCGCGCTCGCCCCCACACGAGCGCTCTCCCGAGCTGCCTCGAACCCTTCCTAGGAGAGGGGGTGCCCCGCCGGTGCCCAGCCCGTCACGCCGGCGCCGACTCACGAGGTTGATGTGCGCTCGTCGGCGATGGTGCGAGCGATGGGCGGCTGCGACTACCCGCGGCGCTGGCTGGCAGCCCCTAGACGCTGAATACGGATTCGTGTGGGGTCCAGCACTCGAGAGACACGTGTGTGACCGCTGTATTCACCCGCACTCCGCTGTATTCACTGTCTTCCTATCTCCGCTGTCTCCACGCTTGCCCTCAACGCGCTGATTGATTGATGGGAAGGCGAAACACAGTCCGACCAACGACTGGGACACCAACGCGGTATGGGTGGACGCTAGACGGGCGGTGACGGTCACACAGGAGCGACACACAGAACCACAAGACAAGACACTCAGCCAAACTGACTGCCACACATCCTGAGCGAACTTCCCTAGTCACCCGCGGCCGGACTCCATCCGGCACGCGTCGCTGCACAATACCGCACTCCCGCCCTCATGTCGGCGTATTAAGCACGTACCTTAAGGTAGGCTGGCAGCCCTCGGCGGCGTGCGGCGCTGCCCAAACGACTGCGCGGCGCTGCAAGGCTTGTGGGCCAGCCGGTGCCTCTTCTGGGAACCTTCTAGGAACCTTCTCGGAACCCTCTCGGAACCTCCTCCTGCAGGCTTGTGGGCCAGCCGGTGCCTCTCGCGCAACGTGACGCTGGCCCACGCCACATGGACAAAGGCCGAGAGTCGCCGAGATGCGCCGAGATGCGTCAAGATCCGTCGAGATGCGTCGAGATCCGTCGTGGCCCGCTGAGGTTCGCCGAGATTCGCCGAGATTCGCCGAGATTCGCCGAGATTCGCTTGGCCTCCCCGAGAATGATGCCCGAGCCATGTATGTGTATGTGTGCGTCTGTGCGTGTGTGTGGGATGGACGCTGTTGTCCTGTGCGCGGGGCTTCCCGGGGACCGAAGACGTACCGCCGCCGCTGCTGGTGCCGTCTGCAGGTGCACCCCAACTCGGCCGACGGCGGCTGGCGCCCCTTTGCGCCGGTGCCTCTTCTAGGAACCTTCTAGCAACCTTCTAGCAACCTTCTAGGCGGCTGGCGCCCCTTTGCGCCGCCCTCCAACCTGACGGTGGCCCTCGATATGAACTTGGGCGATAGGAGGCTGCGGCAGCTCGCCAGCGAGCAAGGCGCCGCCGCGCCGTGGGGTCGCGCGCACGAGGCGATGCGCGCCACGCGCTCGACCGCCTTCCCGCCGCTGCTATACTCGTACGACCCGAGCAGGAGGGCGGGGGCGCCGCGGCTGCTGGAGGCGCGCCGTCGCCCGGCCGTCGCGATCTCGGCTCGGCTCGGCGAATCTCGGCAAAGCTCGGCGAATCTCGGAGAATCTCGGTGAATCTCGGCGAATTCAGCAGGCGCTCAACCCGGCCGTCGCGCGAGAGCACTACGCCTCTTGCCGCTGGGGAGGGTGCCACCCTTCCCGCGGCGAGGCGGCGGTCGAGTGGAGGCCGTGGCGGGAGAGCGGCGGCGGGCCGGCGGACGAGGCGGCGCTGGGCCGTGAGGAGTAACGCTGCTCATTGATGCCGCACTTGGAGCAAAGGGCACTTGCGACTTGGTATTGCAGTTGGTAGCCTCGCGAAAATTCTTGGCGCGGGCACTCAAATTTTGCCCCTGAAATCGAAAATATATCTTTTTGTGCGAGGGTTGAAGAGAGATCCGCTGGCATCGGCCGCCGAGGGAACGTTGTGAAGTGGCACGAGGTCGAGGAGGGCGGCGAGCGCGACCTCGACCGACTTATGGAGGACCCGTCGCCAGACGACGCAGGGCAGAAGACGGTGAGGCGGAGCAGACGCGCAGGGCGAGACGAGGGAGGGAGCAGGACTTTGCGGAGATCAGCAGGAGGATGTACGAAGAGATTAGGAGCAGCAGGGACCCGAGGGACCATGTGGAAGACGGTCAGTGCTAGTCCCCCTGCGCATGACCAGACGGCGTAGCTGAGCTCCCTCGGAGACCGAGGGCGGCGCCCGACGGCGCGGTGGCGCGGTGGGCTGCGAGTGCGCGATGTCTACGTCTTGCTCCATATACACTGCACCGATCGATGATAAAGATACGAAGGGACGAACGAACACGCGGGAACAATTAACTAATCAGGATATTACGCGGGGCGAGGTGTGAACGGTCTACCCGAGGTGAGGGTAGGCGCAGGGACATTTTCGACGCTTTTGTCCCATATACTCGTGCGAGAACCGGCTGGCGGTCTGGCGTATCCGTATGGCGTATGTGCGGCTGCGGCGTGCGGGGGGTGTGGCGGCGCTGGGCGCGCGCCCCGCGGCGGCCCCGGCCGGCAGCCTTGGTCTTGCGAGGTTGCGACGACTTGCGGCACTCCAGCGTGGCGTACACACACCTGATGTATTTTCACTGGAGCCAACCAAGAGCCCACGCGAGATATGTGTGGCACATGATCCCAGTGTTATGCGGCACAAAAGCCCGGACTGGCCTCTTCACGGTCGCGGAGGGAGAGCCGCGGCCGAGACCGATCGGCGAGACGAGAGTGGGGGCCCTTTCAGAGCACTCCTCTCACTGCCCGGGAGGGGCTCCCACGCATTACCACGCACTCGCCAGCTCGCGCGCACGCCATCAGGAAGACGCGCCCAAGTAGGAGCGGACGTCCCCCCAGCCGTAGTGCCAACGGGCCGCGGCGGCGAGCGCGCACGCGAGGAGCGCGCCGTTGCGCCTCGAGGAGTAGGCGCGCGCCGCCGCCTTCCGCCTCGCCTTGGCCTCCTCCTGCTCCGCGGCCGGCATGGCTGCGACCGCCTTTTTCCCGGGCAGGCGCGGCGCGAAGAGGCGGCCTGAGAGGGCGGGAATGGGCGGGAGCGGAGGCGAAGTGGGCGGTGGCTGCTGGCGCAAGAGGTCGAGGGCGTGTGGGAGCGAGCGGCGGAGGGCGAGAGAGGGCGAGGGATTGTGAGGAGTGGAAGATGGGCGGGCTGGTGGAAGGGAAGGGGAGGTAGGGAGCCAGATAAGAGCCACCGTGCAGTCGGAGCAGCATCGCACTGGCGAGGAGCAGATCCCAACCATAGCTCATCACCAGCCTCACCGGGAGCAGCGCGGTCCACCCGACCACGTAGAAGCCGGTGCAGTACCTGCCGAGACATTGTCGCTGTGGCGGTGGCTGAGCGTGCAGGATCGTCCCTTGACAGAGGCAGCGCACCCGATCACAAGCGCCAGAAACAAAAGGATGAGCAGCTCTTCCGCACGCGTCGCCCAAAAGGAGCCGAGGCGCGAAGAGCTGATGTAGTCCGCAGGACGGACGTCCGAGCGCACCACCTTGTCGGGATGGCCCTTGAAGACCGCCTCCTCGTAACTCGAGGCGTATTTGCCGATGCTCGACGTCATGGTCGCGCCGATGCTCCTGTCTGGTATAGCCCCAGCCTACTCCGCGTGAACTCTCGAGGGCTGAGTTGCTATAGCAGCCGAATCCTCTCCAGGCTTCGAGCACAAAAAGAATTTTGCGGCCCCTCGCGCACAAAAAGAATTTTACGTCTGGGCGGTCGCACGACACGATTCACGCGACAGGCGAGGCGCGGGCGGCGGCTTCTGCAGAAGCCGTCGCCCGCACCACAGGAGCAGTCACACCACTCCCACCCCGGCGCCCACCCACTCTCCACCCCGACATCCCCACCCCACCCCACAACCCCGCCCCCCCCCGACCCGAGCAACCCCGCCCCAACCCGACCCGACCCGATCCACCCCGCCCCGCCCCGCCCCGCCCCCCCCACCGGACCAACGGGAGGTGGTCGGTCCCGCTATGGATGTAAGAGCCACTAATGCAACGATCGGCTACCTTATGCACATCCATGCCCACGGTCCGTAGGACGTCGCTGAGACGTCGTGTATTTTGGTGCCGTGTCAAGCCGGGTGGCGGCTCAGTGATGCGTCACGCATATACGCCTCGCTTTACGCGTACTAGTACAGACATAAAGCCCGATCGGTGCTTTCAAATGTGCTGCGTATTATGCGCACGTCTTCTGCACCGATCGTTACCACCGACCTTCTGGCCGCTACGCACCACGCACCACGCACCTGTTTTATGTAAGCTTTGCCAGAGAGGCTCTCTCGGGGCGCTCGCACGGTGTATTACGCACACGTCTTACGCAGTGGGATCGTAAATCGGGGCTGGGTGGGCCTATGACCGACGCATTACGCACATGCACATGCACTACGCTCTCGACCGTGAACGGCGGCGGAGAGGGGGTTACTTACGCCTCATGTATTACGCACACGTCTGATGCATCGCTCGCCAGCTTACGTCCCACGTATTATGCACACGCACGACGGATTTGACTGAGAAGTGGCGGCCAGCAAGGGTTATACGCCTCACGTATTACGCATACGTCTGACGCATCCGCCCACCTAACCCCTAACCCCTAACCCCTAACCCCCTAACCCCCCTAACCCTAACCCCTAACCCTAACTTCGCGCTGCCGCTAGGGAGCTGCCTGCCATAAATTGGCGCTGCCGGACTGCCGCTAGGGCTGCCATAAGCTGGCTAGGATTGTATGTGCGCTGGTAACAACAGACTCGGGCATAGCCCTCGACAGCCACCCCCTAACCCACCCACCCCCCCCCTTTATGTGCGCGCACTGGCGCTGCCGCTAGGGCTGCCATAAGTTGGCGCTGCCGCTAGTGCTCCAAGTGCTTAGGGCTGCTGCATAATCATGAGCCTGTCTCCAAACACCTCTCCGGCGCGCTCGACTATAATCGACGATGGACTATATGTCGGGTTGGCGGCCATTTGCTCAGGCGTCAAAATGCTGAGCTCGTACACTGGCAGCTCCGCAGTGACAGGGTACCCGCTGCCGCAGGGGTGCAGAGAGATGCTAATTCTCGAGTCCCCCACTGACAGAACCGGCCGACATACTCATCCCGAGCGAAGTGCCCGCGCGGCAACAACGGGCTATGACAGCACGTTTCGGTCATGATTGGCAAGGCGGCTCTCGCCAGTGAGAGCAGCACCAAAGCGTTGGTCATCGGCCCCGTCCCCCCACTCACCTCGCCTAGCACCTCGCCTTTTTGGCCCCGCCGGCGCCAGCGGCGCCAGCCTTGCGCTTAGGCGCCTTGCCCGTGCTTGTCGGGGCGGCGCCGCTGCCAGCCGGGGCCGCGGCCGCCACCGCCTTTTGCCTCGGCGGCGCGTCGTTCTCGTTCGCGCCGCTCTCCCGCTCGTCGTCCGCGTCGGCGGCGGCCTCTTGCGCGGCGGGCGCGGCGGGCGCGGCGGGCGCCCGGGCGGCGGGCGGCGCGCGCGGCGGCGCCGACTCGAGGTCCTCGTCGGGGTCAGCGTCGTCATGCCGCGCCTGCTCGCAGCGTCACCCGGTGAGGCGGACGGTGGCGGAAGGGAACGGTCGGCCCGACGCCTCTGGGTGTGGGGGGGGGGGGGGGAGGCCTCGAGCAGCCGCGAGAGGCGGTCGGCGAGGGGGCCGAGCTTGAAGTGGTTTGCGAGCTTGAGTGCGCCTGGCCGAGAGGAGGGGACGGCGCTTAGGGCTTGAACAAGCGGCAAGGCGAAGGGCAAGTCTGCGGCGCGCCGTGGAGCGACTTTGGCAGCTGCAGGCTGAGGGCGAGGTCGAGCGCGCGCGCGTTGCGCTCCGTCTCGTTCGCCGTCTTGAAGAGCTTGAGCGCGAGCGAGTCGATCTTGGTGACGAGCCGCATGGTGTGCTCCGCCGTCTCCTCCTCGCCGAGCCCCGCCTCGGTGGCGGCGAGGCGGTACTCGTCCAGCTCGACCATCGCCGCGATGCGCTGCGCCTCGAGCTGCGGCTCGGCGGGCTCGGAGCACGCAAGGGGCATCGCGAGCGGGAGGGCCTGAGGGACACGTCGAGGACGTGTCGGTGGCCACGCCGTGTGAGGCAGGCGGGCGCCCCACGCCACTCAAGAGTGCTGGCGAGGAGTGAGGCGGGCCTCCTAACGCGCTGTCTACGAGGCGTCTAGGGAGTGTCTGGGAAGCGTCACCGTGAGGACGGGCCGCGGCAGCGTGGCGGGGTACTTGTCGTCGCCCTTGCACAGGATGCACATGAGCTGGGCGCCGGTGAGGCCGACCACCCAGTGGTGCTCCGCCTGCAGTCCCAGAGGGGGGTGCGCGTGTGATGGGCGTGGAAGGGGACGAGCCCAGCCACGGGGCGGGGGGGGGGGTCCGCCTTCGACTTTTTGGCGCTCGCGCAGTGCAGGATCGGCATCCACGTCAGCCCCGCCGAGCGGACGCACTGGCGCACCACGCCCGCCGAGTCGACCGTCGAGAGGGCGCCCGCCTCGGAGAAGCCGACCCAGTCGAGGGTCGCGCCGGGGGAGAGGGGGAGGAGCTCGCTCGCCAGCCGCACGGGCCGCGCGGGCTCGCGCAGGTCGTACAGCGTCACGAGCAGCGCCTGGCCGTCGGAGAGAGGGGTCGGGCCAGGCTCGGGGGGGAGGGGTCGGGGGGGAGGGGTCGGGGGCTTAGGCGAGCAGAGCGCCCGGCTTGGGGGGGAGGGGTTGGGGCTAGGTGGGTGCAGCGCCACGGCGGCGGCGCCTGGTCGTCGGAGAGTGCGCCGCGCCCCGCGTGCGTCACGAGGGCGGCGAGGCCGCGCGAGGCGGCCAGCGCGACGAGCGGGCCGCCGTGGCAGAGCAGCGAGCGCGGCGCGCCCGTGTGCGAGTAGACGCGCAAGTAGCGCGCGCTGGTCGCGACGAGGGCGAACTTGTGGCCGACGGCGACGGCGACCGCCTCCTCGCCCTTCTCTAGCTGCACCTGCCAGTCCGAGTTCGGTGCCCACGAGGCGAGCGGCCGGTACACGACGGTGGACGGGTTGCCTATGCGAAGGCTCCGCGAAGGCTCCGCGGGACAGCTTCTCTGCAGGAGGACACACGGCGGTGGACGGGTCTTGCCGTGGTTGGAGCGCGAGGCGACGAGGACGGCGGCCTCGTCGAGCGCGGCCATCGAGAAGCCGTAGTGGTCGGTGAGGCGCATCGTGCGGTGCTTGGTCGCGTCGCTGAACTCGACCTCGATGGCGGAGTACGTGTTCTCGTCGCGCGAGAGCACCATCCCCGTGAGGTTCCTGCAGGCGGGGGAGCGGGGCGCGGGGCGTGGCGGGGAGGGTACCGGCGGGACGGTGTCGTGGGGCGCGCTGTGGCGCGTGGCACGCGTGGAGGGGCGCGACTGGCGAGGTGGGCAGGCAGAGCGGCACTGACGCTGCGGGCGGCTGCGGCCCTCACCACAGCAGGAAGCGGCGCGAGTTGCGCAGAGGCGTCGCCGACGGCTGCAGCACCTCCTGGACCGGCGCGGCGGGCGCCGCCGCGAGCAGCGCCGCCGCCGCCTTGGCCGCGCTCATCCCTGCAGAGCCCGCGCCGCCGCCGGTGGCCGCTTCGGCGGCGGCCGAGGCGCCATGCGTGCCGTGCATCTTGAGCTGCGCAGCCAGCATCGCCGCCTCGACCGTCTCGTCGTCATCGTGGTCGGAAAAGCCGCCGTCGTCCGAGTCGTGGACCACCCTGCGCAGCCGGCGGCGCCCCCCCCTGGACTCGTCGCCGCCCTCCTCGCCTCCGGCGGCCGCAGCCGGGGTCGACCCCTCTGCCGCAGCGCCATCGCCGCCCTCCGCAGCGGCGGTGGCGGCGGCGGGCGCCGCCGCCGGCTTCGCGCCCGGAGTCGGCGCGGCGGCGGCGGCGGCGTTGGCCGCCGTCGCCGTCTCTCCGTCGCCCACCGGGGGCGGGTAGTGCGCCGGGACGGGCTGCGACCAGATGCCGAGCTGGCCTGAGTCGTCGAGGAAGCAGAGCGTGTTTGCGGTCGGGGACCAGCAGAGGCCGCAAGGCGTTGCGTCGCCGCGGTGGCGGTCGAGCGACTCGCCGCACGCCGCGTCCCACACGAAGACCTGCTTGTCGAGCCCTGCCGTCGCCAGGTACCTGAGACGGGGGAGTGGGCTGAGAGGGGTCGCGTGTGGGGAGGGAAGGGGGCGGCCCGGCGCTGCCAAGCGAATCGGGTGGTGCGTGGTGGGCGAAACGGGCATATGGGCGGGAGGTGCGGCGAGACCAGTGAACGCTCGCACATGAGATGATGGGCGCGCGGCGGCGCGTTGCGGTTGCGAGGGCCCGCAAGAGTGGCGGCCCGCACCGGCCGTTTGGCGAAAAGGCTGTGGTGGAGACGTCCTCCGAGTGGCCGTCCTTGCCCGCGCCGCCCGACTCGAAGGTCGCCGTCTCCTCCCACGTCCCGCGGTCCAGCAGGATCGCCCCCGCCCCCTTTGGCACCGCCAGCGTCTCCCCCTGCGGGTGCCAGCACACGCCGAGCTGCTGCGCAGAGCCTCGTGGCAGCACGCGGCCGCACACGGAGAGCGTCTTGACGGTGGTGGGGTCGTCGCGGATGTCCCAGATGCGGACGGTGCCGTCAGCCGACGACGAGGCCAGATACTCGCCCTTCGGGTCGAACGCGAGGCACAGGACCGAGTCGGTGTGCCCCTTGACTGAGACAAACTGCGACGCGCCGGCGCCGCTCGCGTTGACCATGCACATGCGAATGGCGCCGTCCTCGGCGCCGACGGCGGCGATCCGCCCCTTGGGGTCGAGCGCGATGCACCGCACCGCCGACTGCATCCGCGTCAGCATCCGCATCCCCTCGCCCGATGGGTAGGAGAAGACTGAGGCGATGTGAGCGTCGGTGCCCGTCACGACGCGCGCGCCCTTGCGGTCCATGGCGAGCGCCGTCACGGGCGCGTGCGCGTCGTGGATCTCGAGGGTGCGCGGCTCGGCGCTGAGCTCCTCCGCCTCAAAGATCTTGACGAAAGTGTCCTTGCCGCACGTGACGATGTGCCTGGATAGGGGAACGGGAGGCGTCGGACGAGGCGGGCGGCGCACGAGTTCCGCAGAAGGAGGAGCACCGTCCGTCGGGGGCGTAGGAGATGGCGCCGCGCCCCTCCGTGTGCGCACACTTGAGGTGGACACCCTTGTCGAGCGGCATCCGATGGCGAGGCTCTTTAGGGCCCTTTTAACGGCAAGCTTTGGGGGCTGGGGGCGTCGCCTGACCGAGACGCCGTGGTTTTTCTTTCTTCTTTCTTTGGGATGAGTGCTGGTTTCTTTAGGCTGGCTTACCACCCAGCCTTGATCCGCTGAGCAAGGTTTGCGTTTGTTTGGAAGAATCCCCCGCGGTGAGACTCTTCCGATATTTTGTTGTAACTGCGGGATGTGGCAACAAAGTTGGGACAACCAAGCATGTTAGAAGCCTGAGCGGGGCTAAGCTCACACACGGGCAGACTGCGAGAGTATCAGCATGCCTGACTGTGATGGCCATGCTTGGCACACGCCGAGTGCCGCCTACCGTGCTGCTTGGGCCAGTGCTCGGCGGGGTCTGCGCGCTCGGGATGCTGCTGCTCGGCCTTCGGGCGGCGCTGCGCAAGTCTCGTCTGCCCCGGCTAAGCCTGCGCAAGGCCGTACCAGCGGGAAGACCTCGGATCTTGCCGCCCTCGTGAGCATTATTTTTTCTATTAAATTATATTCACAAGAATTAAGTGCTGAAGTTGTAATTATCGTCCCATATCTCTCTCAACCTCATCTCTCCCTCCTCTTCGTCGTCACCCAACTCCTCACTACTCTCGCACCTATGCTACTCCTCGTCTCGTAAGACCATCGGTACGCACTGCTGATCTCTCGAGCGATCTCACTATCTCACAGCGCTCTCCCGAGCGAGGTGGCTCCCGCGCTGCATTCGCCTAGGACAAGGTGTGCAACACTCGGCTCCCCGCCCCTTCGCAAGGTTCATTGTTTGTGCAGAAGAAAAGAATTTTACAACAAAGCTCCCTCGCACGACACTTGGCACGGAACTGGCGCGCCCCGGGGCACTAGATAGATAGATACACTGACTAAGAAAAGAATTTAGACAAAACAACTCTCTCTCACAGCAGACAGGCTCGACACAGGTGCGAACTGGCGCATAAGAAAAGAAAAGCGCGCGCATCCTAGCCGCCCGCCGCCTGCCCGCCGGCCGCGGCACAACAAACCCGCGGCATGCCGGGCCGGATGTCCCAATAAATGCTCCCGCTGTCCGCGGCCACAATTATGTCCCAATAAATGCTCCCGCTGTCCGCGGCCACAATTGGCGCTGAAACTCGCCCATGCGATGGTGGCCAGCCTGGCAGGCAATGGTGTGACGCATCGAGATCCTTCGAGGAGCGTGCAGCGGCGCTAGTCCGTGCACTTGAGCCCGAAGAGAAGGCAGAGCTGCTCGTCAACGATTGGGCTGCCGTCCCGCGTTTTGATATGCCTCCGTACGACTCCGCACTCACTGTACACTGGACGCCGCACTCACCACCTGTCGCGCTCGATCGCACGACGACGTACTGCGAGCCCCTCACAAAGGGCATGCCTTGGTTTGAAGTGTCACACTAGCGGCTGCCAGTCCAGTGGCTGCCGCTCTGAGGGTGAGCGTGCCTCCAGCTGCGTTCGCCTTTGGACGCAACACCGCGAGCACCCGGCCGCGGTGGGTTGTACGGCGAGGTTGCTGAAAGGAGCCGAGGTCGCGCGGGTCGCCGTTGCCGACGCGGTACAGCTCGCCGTCGCCCTCGAAATCGAAGTTCACCTACAGCAATACACAACACGCTGACATCAGATCGGTCATGCGCCTTCTGCTTCAACTCGGAGCTCACGTCGACACGTGCGTGCGGCACGTGACGGCCTGCGCTATCGACCACGTAGACGGTAACGTACGCGAGGTCGTTGCGACTGGCGCAAATGGTGGTGCGGTCGGCAGCCAGCCGCAACGCGGCAGGCATGCCGGTTGTCAGCAGCGTCCGAACGTCGGTGCGGCCTGTGGCTCGCACGTGTCCTACTGCGGTGAGGTTGCCCGGCGAGTATGGCACAACGAAGGTCGCCGTCAGCCGTTCGATACCACGGAACCACGAGCCGTTTACGAATGCGATCGACCCGCCACCACCTCGCATTGCCCTGCCAACTCGAGCGCCGTTGACAAAGAGCTCCACCTCATCATGGGCCTTGGAGTACACCTTGACGGTCACCTGTGCGCCCTCCGAGATGGAGGGCCACGTCCAACTCACCTCCTCGTCCGGCCAGCCCCAAGCGCTGATCTGCTCCGACGTGCCCGCCGGCGCCGGGCCGCTCACCACCATCTCGAGCGGCGACACGTCCCAAAGCACGTTGCGATAGAAAGACTGCGGCTTTTTGAAGCCGCATATGTCGAGGTCACCTGCGTACGAGATGTGCCACGGCCATGGGCTCGTCCCCAAGCACGTCTCCAGCATCCCCTTCCCCGGAAGAGTAGCGGCAGTCCAACCAAGCGCGCTCTCGCCGAGATGGTCCATCGCTGTCCAAACGAAGTCTCCGATGAGCCATTCGTTCTCCCAAACGGCCTGCCAGCTTTCGAAGCTCTGCTGCGGGTAGGACTCTGTGGCCACCATCACTCGTGCTGGATCACGTCGATGGTCAGACGTGTAGAACTGCGGCTTGGGGCAGTCACATAAGCCGCGACTTCGTTTTCTTTATCTTTTTGCGACCCCTCCCGGAGGGCCCTTCCGACCCCTCTCGAGCCCTCCCGCCATGAAGATCCTCCCCTGTCCGACCGTCCCTCCGAGCCCACCCGGCGTCCGGGGAGGGGGTTAGCCCTGTGGAGCCCTCCCGACGCCGATCCGACGGGGACCCCTCCAGCCCTGTGGGCTGGCGAGCCCTCCGGTCGGAGGGGTGGAAGTGGGAGGGCTCGAAGACGGACCTCTCTCGCTCCGGGAGGGTGGAGGGGTGGAGGGTGGAGGGGTGGAGGGGTGGTTGAGCCCTCTAGCTCTATCGATATAGCCCTACCCCTCCCGCCGTTTTAGGGCCTCCCCACCCGCTATGTACCTTACTCTCGACGATAATACGAGAATACGAGAATACCGCTTCGAGACACCTATAAAGAAACAGCGGGGTAAAGCTCGGCGGCTACGATAAACACTTAACGCCTCGGCTGTGTACCTGTGTACGACACTGAGTTCGTACGGCTTAAATTAACCGTACTGTACTCAAGATACTCAATAGAGTATACGTAAAGCCGTAGTCGTGTGTGTCTCGCGCCTTGCGGGGGGGGGGGGAGCGGAAAGGAGGCTAGAAAGGAGGAACCTCTTCCCAAGAGCACCACTCTTGGAGCGCCGCCACCACCACCCAGAGCGCATGAGCGCTGCAAGCAGCGCCGGGCAACGACGGCTTACCGTCCAGACCCAGCGGCCCCCCCTAGTCAGGCCTTGCACGCCAGCCGCCACCATCACCGGCTGCCAGGTTCTCGAGTGCACCCATGAGCCCGGAGGATTGCATCACTTCAGAATTTCACCCAAACCGCAAACGCGGCCGCCTCCTTTTCTCCTCTCTGGGCGTGTTCTACTCGTACGTTGTGGCCTCACACGCGCGTCACCCACAACCCTTGTGCCACAAGACAAACAACTCTCCCAACGTCTCCTCCGCCAGCTCTTATCTCTTGGGCGGCGACTTGCCGACGCCGATAAGCCTCCCGACGAAGCTGATGGCGCGCGTGGCCTGAAACGCGGCGAGGTAGAGCCAGATACCGTCGAGGCTGAGGGCGGACCGCAGCGCCCCAACCTTGAGCAGCAGCTGCGTCGCGGCGACGGCAATGCCGCCCGTGACCACGTAGTGGCGCACCAGCCAACGCACGTCCTTGGTGGCGAGGAGGCACCCCTCCATCCCAACCACGGGCGGGTGGAGCAGCAGCCCCGCCGCCGCAATCGGCGCCGCGCGCCGCAGCAAGCGGGTAACCTCGGCGTCCGCTGTGAAGAGGCCCGGCCGCAACAGCGGGACGCTGAAGGTGATGGCCGTGTTGCAGAGCGCGACCAGCGCAGTCATGCCGACGATGCGCTTGATCGTCCCTCGCGCGGAGGCGGCGTCGAACGTGACACGGCCGGAAGCCTCGTCGGTCACATAGTACCGGGGAAGGAAGCTCTGCGCGGTTGCCCCAGTCACGTCGCCAAGGGTGCAGCAGAGTCTGAAGATGGAGAAGAGGCACTGGTGCGCCGCGCCGGCGGCGGTCCCGAGGATGGAGGCGAGCAGAATGGCCTGGTTGTACACCAGTTGCTTGACAAACAACACGACGATGAAGGCTCCGAACGCAAAGAAGCGTCGCAGCTCATCAGCAGAGGGCAGCTGGCGCAGCTCGAGCATGCCCTTCCGGCGCAGCGTGCGCAGCAGCACAAACGCGGCCGCGACCTGACAGCCCACTGTCGCCCACGCGGCACCCGCGATGCCCATGGCGAGCGGCCCGAGGACGAGGGCGGCGTCACCGGCAACGTTGACGAGAGAGGCTGTGAGGGTGGCGAGGGTGGGGTTGAGCGAGTCCTTTGCGCCAAGGCAAGACGCCTGTGCAGACATGAGCGCGAGGGAGAAGGGGAAGGACAGCGCGCGGATGCGGACGTACGTCTCGCACGCAGCCCAGAGTTGAGTGGTGACCGCAACGGCGGCGGCGTCGCCTCCCGTTCGCGCGACCGTGCTCGCCACGGCGGCGGGCGCGGCCAAGTTGGCGATGAGCGGTCCGATAGAGAGGGACAGGAGCAGCGCAAGCACGCAGCCGATTGCGAACGAGGTGGTGACGGAGACAGAGGCGGCGCGCTTGGCGGCGGCGCGGTCGCCTGCGTAGGAACGGAGAGAGGTCGAGTATGTGCCATCGAAACAGCCGGTGTGACTCTCACTGTCGCACCTCCGCCCACAGCAGTCGAGACGGCGTTGGTGGTACCGACGGAGATGAAGACCATCATGGTCGAAATCGCGTCGCAGATTCCACACGCCGGTCCGAGCGCCGCTAGCTGCACGGATGAGACCTGCGGGCAGCGAGGATGCCGGTCGCTTCTCGGAAGTGTCTCGGAAGTCTCGGCAGGTGATGCGGAGCCTGGCCGACTGCAGCTGTGTCGATGAGGCTGAGCAGCGTCGGCGCGACGTAAATTGGCATCGCAAGGACCGTGAATTTAAGCAGCTCGCTGAAGCGCGGTGGCGGGAGAGCGGCCGGCACTGACCTAGCTTCGGGCGGCGCTTTGTCGGCTGGCGTCGTCGACATGCGAAACGAACGTATCAGAGGTGGCCGAGCTGCGAGCATCGGTGGCTGGCGAAGGCATGCTGCTGCCGAGGCTCCTCTCGTGATAGCTGCGAGCAGGAGGAGAAGCTGAAGGCTCATCAATCTGGTCGCGAGCGTCGGGAACGAGCTGCAAGTGCGAAGAAAAAGAATTCGAAATGCAGAATTCACGCGACAGGCGAAGCCTCTTACACCGGCTAAGTCGGCCATGGCACGCGATATACGGCGCTCGCGCCCAAATTTTCTTCGCCTGCGCGGCGGGCGATCGATCCTCCTCATGCTCAGCAATCGCCGCCTCAGCATCCTCCTCTTCCGATTCTCGTTGCTGCTTCTTGAGCGCACTTCGGCGACATCTAGCCAAATAGTTCTCACAAATAGCCATCAAGCTCAAACAAACGCATGTCAGAGAAGCCTGTGTATGCTGGTCCTCTTTGAACGATCCGCGCGTGAGGTAGCATAGGGCCTTGTTGGCAGCAGCCAGCTTGTTGCGCTGCTTCGTTGCGATGAGCTGATTGGGATCGCAGAAGTGCATGCCAAGCACCGCCACGATCTTGAAGCAGAACACATCGCAACCGCATCGTCCGCACTGCCATCGGCATGCCGCGCCCGCCGCTTCGCCGCAGCCGCCTTAAGGCACGCATAGCGGCAGCACATGGTACGGTGCGCGTACTTGAGCAGGCGTTGCGCGCCGCAAGTAGCGCACTGGCCCTGGGAGACGGCGATATGGCGTCGTGCGCGGCATACGCTGGTCGGGACCGCGTCCAGGTATTTTTCGGGTAAGCCTGGACTTTTGCAGGTATACCCGGGTTTTACCCGGAGTTGGCCTCGTGTCGTCTAAGTTCATGGCCCCCGGCCTTCCAGCGTCTAAGTCTGAGCCCGGCTCCGTGCGGGGGCTAAGTTGAGCGCTCGCTCACTGCAGAGGCTAAGTGTAGAGCGACCCTCTAGCCCTACTACCCAACCATTTTGAGAAACCCCTCGAGTTAGCTGCTTAGTCGCGTGCGCGTATGCTCGCTGTCGTTGCAGTCTCTGGAGGCTGCGCCGCGGCTCCCGAGCGGCGCGTGACCCGTGCCAGTTTTGGTAAGGTTTTGCGCACCCTCTCAACTGACTCCGTGAGGCAGGGTGGCGCGGGTGCGGGGTGGCTCGGCAGCTCGGCGGGAGGCCTCCGACCCGGCTACCTTGTGCTGTTGAAGTTGCTGCAGGAGACGCCGATGACGATGGCGCTGTCCTCGCGGCTGGCCAGCGTCCGGGCTCGCTGGCGCGCCGCCCGGGATAGCACTGACAGTCTGCCGGCGCAGCGGGCGCATTCGAATGCGCCCGCCGCGCCGGCAGACTGTTGGACGGCCACAGTCGCGAAAGTGGGGTGAAATCCGTGCGGCGCAGTGGCAGCGGTGGCCAGGCGGCCCCTCTCGGGGCCGCGTTGCGCAGGCGCGCCGCGCCATGAGCGGCGACCGTGGTGAGAACGCGATGTGCCACTTGCTCTCACTTAGCAGCTAACTATGATAGAACAAGTTTGAAAACCTCAGCGAAAAAACCGGGGGTGGGGATTAGTGCGAAGAGTTCAACCTCTCCAATGCCCGCCCCAGTTCAGTACCATCCCAAGTCCCAATACCCATGTGGCACATAGACACACCGCAGGATGCTACGTACTCTGCGTCGTCGACTTCGCCATTTCTCGCTCTCGGACCCTCGCTACAGTACTGGCCTCCTCCCTCCCCCACGCCCGACGCATCGGGCGACGCATCGGGCGACGCATCAGTCGCAAGCGTCACTCAATGGGAGACGCTCAAACCCCGGGCGGCGATTCACGGTAGCCGCCCGACCCAGTCGCGCTTAGCTAGCCGCGACCAAACTCGCTGTCCTTCTCGCTGTCGGTCTCGCTCTACGCGCCGATGGCGAAGCGGGCGCCCTGCTGCTGCGCGGTGAAGACACGGCTGGGGCCGCCGAAGGCGCCGTCGCCGTCGATGACCTCGCCGTCGAGCGCGACGATCTTGACGCCCTTGCCCTTGCTGGAGCGGCGAAAGGTGTGCGCGTCCTCCTTGGTCCGCACGATGACCGTCTTGCCGAAGATGTAGGGGAGGAAGGGGGCGAGCTCGGGCTCGGTCGGCGCGAGCAGCGCCGAGGCGCGAAGGGCGAGAGGCGCCGACTCGACGACGGGGTTGACCGGCGGCGCCGTCTTGCTCGGGAGGTACTCGAGCGGCCACACCTTGGCGCCGTTCACCTCGTTCTCCGCCCTGGCGGCGCTCGCCGTGTCGGTGAGCATGGTCTCGAGCCTTGCGCGGGCGAGGTACGAGAGGGCGGACGCGAGCGCCTCCATGTTGACGTCGTCG